CTCCCGACGCATTTTTCCAATTTCTCCATCCCGACTGGATTCTATGGCTTATTTCTTTGGATTAGATAATATAACAATGAACTCAAAATAAATCTGTTTCTGATCAACGTAAACTTCCCTCTACAACACTTAAAACCTAGCATCAGCTGAAAAAACAATGATTTAAGAGCAACTAAGACAACTGTATTATGTGTGAGCCACTCCTTTACCCTTTTTCATATGTAACTTTATGTAAAACATGAAAAAATAATCCACGATCTTTCAACAAGGAAGATTTTGTGACAATAAGTTAACTTACCACTCTAGGAGCATCATCTTGGTCAGACTCTCCACTATCTTCTTCTAAATGGGTTAAATTACATCTCTTAATCACTAAGAAACTAGTGCTAATAACTTTATTCTTTATTGAATTAAAGTCCCACACCATTAAGATCGTAATTCATTTTCAAAAGGAGAGAAAAAAAATGTTTAATAGCAAAATGGAACTTTAAAATTTTACTACATAATCACACATAATCAGATAACTTCATACAGAAAAATAATACATCTTTAAACATTAAATCAGGGTAAAATCTACTGTATTAAACTCTGGCACAAAGTAAGTTTAGGTATAAAGATACTGGTGGGGAAATCTACAGAACTGACACAAAATGAGTTTGGGTATAAAGATACTGGTGGGGAAATCTACAGAACTGACACAAAATGAGTTTAGGTGTAAAGATACTGGTGGGGGAAATCTACAGAACTGACACAAAATGAGTTTAGGTGTAAAGATACTGGTGGGGAAACCTACAAAACTGACACAAAATGAGTTTAGGTGTAAAGATACTGGTGGGGAAACCTACAAAACTGACACAAAATATGTTTGGGTATAAAGATACTGGTGGGGAAATCTACAGAACTGACACAAAATGCATTTGGGTATAAAGGTACTGGTGGGAAAATCTACAGAACTGAAACAAAATAAGTTTGGGTATAAAGATACTGGTGGGGAAATCTACAGAACTGACACAAAATGACCAATCTTGTATAGTGTTAGGGTAGAGAAAATAACAGATAAAATGTAAAGTTTAATTAAATCAAACATTTGAAATGTATTCAGGAGATTTTATAGATTACAAAAATGAAATCTGAGATGAAGAAAAATATTTTTTAATCTTAACATGAAAATCACTTTGCACACGGACTATTCAAAACAAATACTCGATATATTCAAGGACAAATATTTTTTTTAGTTTATTAAAAATACTTCACTAAAAATATGACTTTTTGTAAGTGAAAGACTGCCAGATGTTGTAAAGATATACATACTATATTAAAAGTTAGTAGTATCAAATCTATAAAGACTTTGAAAGAGTACAAAGAGGTCACGTGGTCGGTCAAATTGACTGAGCCCGTGTTGAGATAGTTAATATGTTTTGTACATACATTATATATCCATACCAATCACATTAAATGACTATCCCACCACCTAAACGTTTATACTCTAACGTATTTCATGAAAGTCCTAAATATTTTTTCCAACCAGTGTTTCTTACAATACTTAACTGTTGGTAAGGATTCCCCTTTTAATGCTATTTACATTAAATTAAAGGCTCGGTATTACAACTAGTGATTTTCTTGTATCAAACAATGAAATAATATTGTTTTCAAAACATTTAAAATGGATAGAAACAACGAACATTTTTACAAAGTGTATCAGCTACTAGTGTAATGTTTGGAAGTAAAGCTTACCCGTGTTTTCCTGAGTCGTCGTTTGTAAAGCTCTTGCTTCCTCCACATTACCTTCCATCTTAACCTCTAACTGCTTATCTAAACCAACCAGTAGAGAAAAACTTTCAAACATAAATAAACAAATCATTGTTTTCTTGTGTGAAAACCCATATCAATCAAATATTTTATTAAAGCTAGAAGTTTATAACTATCAAATATATCACTTTTGTCCAGTGAAGTTTGTTCGTAACTGAAAAAAAAATATTTATTAACTCTTCATGTAATCAGAGTCAACTGTTTCAAATAGACATCTATTTAAAACCACAGATTTTCACAAAATACTATTTTTTTATCATAACACTGTTTCTTGTATATTATTTTATTTAAAGGCATATTCCTCAATCTATTATTGCAATTTTAAGAAAAAAATTGCAGAAATGCTCAGTCCGAACTTTTTTGAGAAAAGCTACCATTGTAGTGATTAAACAAATAAATTTACTGGAAAACGGCGTAAATTGATGCTGGCTTTAAAAGAGGTTACATTAACCTCTACTGCATTCTTCAGTCTAAGGAACCAAGAACATTATTTTAATTCTACATGCATGGGGTTAGTCCAATGGATCAATACTCTCAATGTAGAACTACTGTTTACTATAATTCTGAATTTACTATATGTATCTTCATGACATTTGACAAGCTTTTAGTAAACATGAAACATATGTTCTACCCAAATATGTGAATTTGTAAAAATGTTTGACTTTTTTGTTTATATCTCTGTAAAGCAAGAAGCTTAGAGGCTATAAAGTAACACTGTATTTTATTAATACACGTACTATTAAGTAGGTAAGTTTCAACAAATTCAGAAGATCATACGAGGGTAGGAAAAAAATTTTAAATGTGTAATTACGAATAAAGTGTCACATGATAGAGACAAGTGTAAATTTATTTAAGTACTTTTTATTATATTGAAGAAATATAACATATAATATTAAAATTTCAATTATAAACTATGTTTTAATGTCAAGTTTATTAACATACACTGATAATAGAGCTAATTATATTTTAAATGTAATATTGTAAAAAGGTTGTGACATATGAACTTTGACCCACCCATGAGCATGGGGTTAATATCCTTTTGATATGATTATCATTTTATGACAGCTAATAACACTTTTTAAGTCAACTACAGATTGAAGATATCGGATAAAGACACCAGAAAAATAAGCCTATTGTAAAACATATTCTTTATAACGTTGCATAATTTTTTAAAGAGCTAATCATCAGGATAATATGCTAACTTTCCTACAATGATCCAGTTTCTCAATAGTTGGGATTACCACCCCCCCCCCCAAGAAATCCACGAATATAAAATAAAATTTTAATTTTCAACCTTACTTCTCTGCATATGGGCTTGGTCATTTAGACCAACCATGTAACCACCAGGTAACTATAGGTATTTTTACTGAAGTCTTGTCTGTGAATATAATGAGTTAGAGTGTAATTCAGTCTCTAACTAGACTAAATACAAGGTTTTCACCTTACAGTTTTTGTAAGCCCTTCAATAGTGGGCAGGTTGCAAAGTGTTGGAAGTTAGCTAATGTCATTCCTCTTTTGAAGAGAGATAATAAAAATTGACCCAGTAATTATAGGACTGTTAGTCAGTTGGGGGAAACTTTCTGAAAGTCTGACAAAAGATGCTTTGCAAAGTCATTTAACAAAGTTTAGAATTTTATTGGATTGTCAACATGGTTTCACTAAGAGAAAATCTTGCCTTACAAATCTTTTGACATTCTTTGAAAAGGTTACTGTTTATGTATATCAGGGTGAGGGTGTAGATTTGGTCTATATCTGGATTTTCAGAAAGCATTTGACAAGGTACCACATATACGGCTTGTAAAAAAAATTATCTCTATAGGTGTGGTGGATACGTTAGCTAATTAGATAGAAAAGTGGTTGGATAAAAGAAAGCAGAGGATTGTTACAAATGGAGTTCAGTCAAACTGGATTAATGTTACACCTGGGGTACCTCAGGGTTCAGTATTAGGACCTTTGCTCTTTTTGATTTACATCAGTGACATAGATGAAGGAATATCCAATAAGTTACTTATATTTACTGGTCTTGGGTGTTGCTAGCTGTGAAGAGGATGCTGCTAATTTACACAAGAATTCAGATCATTTAGTGAGTTGGGTAAATAAATGGCAGATGGGTTTTAATTATAATAAATGCAAGATAAAGCGTGTGAGTTTACTATAATTTGAATTATAAGTATAAAATGGATGGGAATAATCTTAGTCAGTGTCATGAAAAGAAAGGGATCTTGGTGTAATAGTTGATCAGTCTCTAAAGCCATTCA